TGAGGATCATGGCTCAAAGCCATCCTGGGCAGAAAAGTCCATGAGACTCTTATCTCCAATAAACTATTCCGAAAAAGCCAGAATTGGAGCTGTGGCTCAAGTGGTAGAGTACTAGCCTTGAGCACAAAGAAGCTCAGGCTGAGTTCAAGCTCCAAGGCCGGCAAAAAATAAAAACAAAAACAAAAAATAGAAAATAATTAGCATCAATTAGTTCTACAAGGGGGTTTCATTTTGACTTGTTTATGGACTATTTGCATTTCTTTGACAATTGTGTATACATTTGCCCATTTATTGATTAGGTTGTTGACTCTTTGGGAGTAGAGTATTTTTAGCTCCTTTTATAATCCAGTTGTTATCCCCTGGTCAGATGTATGGACTTCTTCCCATTCTGTAAGCTGTCTTTCCACTTATTGTCTACTTCCTGTAGAAGCTTTTTAGGCTGATGTCATCCCATTTATCCTTCCTTGTTCCTGTTTTCTTGAAAATTTCTCAGGAAAATACTGCCTATGCCAATGTGTTCTAGCATTTTCCATATTCCTTTCTATAGTAGTTTCAAGGTTTCAAGTTTTACTTTGAAATCCTCGGTCTGCTTTGAAATTGATACTGATACTGGGTGATAGACAAGGATCTAGTTTCAGTCCTCTATGTGTGGTTATCAGAATTCTAAGCACCCTTTGTTGAAAAGGCTTTTCTCCCCCTGACATATACTTTGGGCTCATTGGTCAAAAATGAGATACCTGGCCGGGCGCTGGTGGCTCAACGCCTGTAATCCTAGCTACTCAGGAGGCTGAGATCTGAGGATCGCCGTTCAAAGCCAGCCCGGGCAGGAGAGACCGTGAGACTCCTGTCTCCAATAAACCACCAGAAAACCGGAAGTGGCGCTGTAGCTCAAGTGGTAGAGCACTCGCCTTGAGCTGAAGAGCTGAGGGACAGCGCCCAGGCCCAGAGTTCAAGCCCCACGACCAACCAAAAAAAAATGAGATACCTGTAGGTTTATGGATTTATTTCTGGATCATCTGACCTGTTCCATTGGTCTTAATATCAGTTTTTGTGCTGGTACCAGGATGTTTTTGTTACTGTGGCTCTGCAGTGTAATTTGGAATCTGCTATAGGATACTTCCAGTGGATTTTTTTTTTGTTTGTTTTGGCTATTTTTTTGGGGGGGAGTGTTTGGAATCTTTTATGATTCCATATGAATTTAAGGATTGATTTTTTTTACTTCTATGAAAAATGACATTGGGATTTTGGTAGGTAATGCATCATATCTATGGATCGTATCTGTTTTTGACATTATTGCCATTTTCACAGTATTGGGTCTACCAATCCATGAACATGGGAAGTCTTTTCTATCTTCTGTTGTCTTCTTCAGTTTCTCTCATCAAGGATTTATAATTTTTATTGCAGAGGGTTTCTACTTCATTGGTTGTTTATTCCTAGGTATTTTTTTAGGGTATTGTGAATGAAATTATTCTAAATAGGTTCCAACCCATCAATATACAGAGAAGCTACTGATTTTGGTATGTTGACTTTGTGTCCTGCTATATTGCTGGAGGTGTTTAACCAATCTAGGAGTTTTAGAGTGGAATCTTTAGAATTCTTTAGGTACAGGATCATATCATCTGTAAATGAGAATAATTAGAGGTCTTCTTTCCCTACTTGAGTCCCTTTTATTTCTTTCTCTTGCCTTATTGCTATGGCTAGGAATTTTAGTACTATATTCAGTAGGCATGGAGAAAGTAGACACACTTGTATCATTCTTGACTATAAGAGGAAATGATTTTATTTTTTCTCTATTTAGTATGATGTTGTCTTAGATAACCTTAATTGTGTTGAGGTATATTCCTTTTTCTCATTTCCTCAGAGCTTTTAACATAAAAAGATGTTGAATTTTGTAAAAGGATTAATTTGGTATTGGTTTTCTTTCTTTTCCCTCCCTCCCTCCCTCCCTCCCTCCCTCCCTTCCTCCCTTCCTTCCTTCCTTCCTTACGTTCTTTCCTTTTTTTTCTCTTTCTCTCCCTTTCTCTCTTTTTCTTTCTTTATGTGTATGTTGATACTGAGGCTTGATCTCAGGGCCTTGTACTCTTGCTTGGCTATTTTGTTTTTTAGGTCTGAGACCCAGGACTCAAACTCAGAACCGATGCTTTCACTCATTGGCTAATGCTCTACCAATTGAGCCATGCCTCCAACCCCAATTACTTGGCTTCTTTTACTCAAGACTGGCATTCTAGAACTTCCACTTCCATTTCCAGCTTCTTCCCAGTGAACTGGAGATAAAAAAAAATCTCTCCAATTTGTCTGCCTGGGCTGGCTTGAAATTGGTATCCTCAGCCTCCTAGGTAGCTAGGATTACAGGTGAGAGTACCAGCACCCAATTTCAAAAGTTTTTATGCATCAATTAAGATAAACAGATGATTGTGTTCTAGATCTTGTTTTGTGCTGTATTACACTGATTTTTATTTATTTATTTATTTTGTCAGTCATGGGGCTTGAACTCTGAGCCTGAAGACTGTCCCTCAGCTCTTCGCTCAAGGCTACTGCTCTACCACTTGAGCCACTGTGCCACTTCCAGTTTCCTGTGGTTTATTGGTTTATTGGAGATAAGAGTCTCATGGCCTTTCCTGCCCAGGCTGGCTTTGAACCACAATCATCAGATCTCAGCCTCCTGAGTAGCTAGGATTACAGGCATGAGCCACTAGCACCTGACTTGTATTACATATATTGAAACAACCTTCTATCACTGTAATGAAACCAGCTTCATGGTGTGTACTCATTTAGATGTGTTGTTGATTCAGTTGACAGGTATTTTATTGAGAACTTTTGTATTATATTCATCAAAGAGATTAATCTATAAAATTCTATTTCTTTAATATATCACTGTCTTGTTTAGAAATGAATCTATTACTGACTTCATAGGAAGAATTCTGTAGTGTTCATTTTCTGTCTAATGAAAGAATTTGAGGAGTATTCATGTCTGATAGAATTCAGCAATGAGTCTATTCAGTCCTGGGCTTTTCTTTCTAGGAGGTATTTTTTTAAATTATTGCTTCAATTTTATTATATAAAAGCATCCTCTGTTCAGTTTTTTTTTTTTTGGTTGGTCATGGGGCTTGAACTCTGGGCTTGGGGCTGTCCCTGCACTCTTCAGCTCAAAGCAAGTGCTCTAATGCTTGAGACACAGTGCCACTTCTGGTTTTCTAGTGGTTTTTTTTGGAGATAAGAGTCTCATGGACTTTCCTGCCCGGGCTGGCTTTAAACCACAATCCTCAGATCTCATCCTCCTGAGTAGCTAGGATTACAGGCATGAACAACCAGCACCTGGCTTCTTGGTTCCTTTTTGGTAGATCAAGTTCATCTAGAAATGCATCTATTTCTTCTAGATTGTCCTGTTGCCTTGAGTATATGTTTTCAAGGTACAGTATTCCCTCATGATCTTCTGGCTTTCTCTTGTTTGTTGTGATAGTCTCATTTTTTCCCCCTCTAGTTATATTTACTTGGGTCATTTCCCTCTTCCTTTTAGTCAGATTAGCTAAAGGTTTAATAATTTTACCTTTTTGAAGACCCAGCTTTCTGTTTCATTGACCTTTTCTGAATTTGGGACCTCGTGCTTGCTAGGCTGGTACTCCATCACTTAAGCTATACCTTTAGCCATGCATTTTGTCTAGATAGGATCATGCAGACCTTTATACTCTGGACTGTTTGTGAGTACAAAGTATTCAAATATGGTAATCCTTCTGTTTTCAGCCTCCCAAGTAGTTAGGATTAGAGATAGGGACCCTTGTGCCCACTGTTTTATTGATTCTTTGTATAATTTGTTTAGTCTCTTGTTTTCTGCCCTCTTATTTCTTTTCATTTTCTGATTTTGGATTTTATTAGTTCCTATTTTTCTAAGTGCTTGCTTGAAATACATCATTAGGCTATTTGAAATTTCTGTTATTTTGATGTAGGCATTCATACTATAAACTTTCCTCTTAGCTGTGTCATACAGGTTTTAGTAGGTTATATTTTCATTTTCATTGGATTCAATGAAATTTTGAATTTCCCTTCTTAATTTTTTCAGTGATTCACTGTTGATTTCATTCAACTGTATTGTTCAGTCTTCATATGTTTGATTGTTTTCTGTGGCTTCTTTTGCTATTGAGCTCTAGTTTTGCTCCATTATGATTTGATAGCATACAGAGAATTATTTAAATTTTCTTAGATTTGCTAAGGCTTGTTTTATGTCCTGAAATAGGTTCTGTTTTGGAGAGTGGTTCACGCACTCTAGAGAAGATAGACAATATGTATTGTGTAGTTGCTAGATGAAAGATTCTGTAGACATCTGCCAGATCCATTTGGTTTATGGCTTCATTTCAATCTGAGATTTCTTTGTTGATTTTTTGCTTGGATGAGCTATCTACTGGTGAGAGTTGGGTATTGAAGTCTCTTCATGTGTTGGAGTCTACATATGTCCTTAAGTCTAGTAGTGTTCGTTTAACAAAGTTGGTACATGTTAACTGATGTTTGGTATTTTTTTATTTCAGCGACTTTTTTTTATTATGCTTGATTTTTAACTCATACCTGCCAGTACATTAAGCCATAGTGCTAGCCCATAGTGAAGTGGATTTTTTTTGTTTTTGTAAAGTCTCCATAAAACTTCATATCAGAAGTTGTTAGGAGGAAAAAACAAATCTGCGTATGATTGGGAAAGATTGCCAAAAAACCTCTTAGAATATGGTAGGATCTTACAGTGGAACTTCTGATATGACTGTACTTTCTATTTGAGCAAATGGCCATGAAATTAATTCAATGGAGGTTTAACATTTAAAGAAGTGGTAAAAATAGAATAAAAAGTCATAATGCATTGAATCTTGCTGATCTATAACTGCATGATGATTTTGTTCAGGAAAACATGCCAGTGTCTGAATGTGCTGAGTTATGGACCTAAAGTGTTTTTCTTGCTGTCAGTTATAATAAAAAGAATTTGGCATTAAAGCACTATAATTTCTTGTATTGTATTCCAGCTTTTGTTACCTTACTGAATGGGGAACAAGCCCAGAATGCAATTCAGATGTTTCATCAATATTCTTTTCGAGGCAAAGACTTAATAGTCCAGCTCCAGCCTACAGATGCATTACTGTGTATTACCAACCTGCCCATTTCTTTTACGTTAGAAGAGTTTGAAGAACTTGTTCGTGCTTATGGAAATATCGAGAGATGTTTTCTGGTCTACAGTGAAATAACTGGCCATTCCAAAGGCTATGGCTTTGTGGAGTACATGAAAAAAGACTTTGCTGCAAAGGCTAGATTGGAACTGCTTGGCAAACAGCTGGGAGAATCCACACTCTTTGCACAGTGGATGGATGTTAATCTTTTGGCCTCAGAGCTCATTCATTCTAAGTGCCTTTGTATAGATAAACTCCCTAGCGACTACAGGGATTCAGAGGAGCTGTTGCAACTTTGTTCCAGTATCCATAAACCTATATTTTGCCAGGTAGGTATTTTTAAGAGATTATTAGAGCTATTTAAAAAATATTTGCATATGTGTCTATTCTACATGAATCCACAAGCTTAGCATTAGGTAGTAAATTGGACAATTTTATTCTCTGCTAGTGTATTATGAAGACTTAAGGTTCATAGGAAATTTTATATCACTTCCGGTTGATGATCCACACTAGTTATTATATGTACTTCAGTATGCCACAGCAAACGCAGCACTACTCATTCCAGCCATTCATCCAGCTTTTCACCCCTTAGACAAGGGGTGAAAGCTCACTTGCCACCCTCTTGGTGTCAGATATGGTGCCCAGTGTCAGAAATGCAGAGAATAGAAGGATACTGTATCTCAGGACTTCATAGTCTTATGGCAGAGAATGAGAGTAGGAAAAAATTGGCAAATTTCACATGGAGATGGGTATTGGAGAGAATAGGAAAATGTTATGAAGCTCAACAAGAATGTATCGTGTCTCCTGGAGTGAGACATTTAGAGAAATTCTGAAAACAACACTATAAAAGTTTTGAATCACATACTTATAGTAAGATTAACTATATCCAAATAAGCAGACATAACTATACTATGTGTGATGGTATAAAGTCCTGCCCTTACAGATTTTCACACAACTCCCTCTAGTTCTCCATTTCTTCTTTCCTCCTCTTTTTTTTAAAACCAGTTTCCCTACCACACTCTTTCTCTCTTGATTGCCTTTCTTCCCCGCTTTCTCCCTTTAATTGTACATTTGATGAATTCCTACTATTGCATTAGAAATTCTAGAGTTGGAATATGCATGTATGTGTGGAATGACTAGATCCAGGTGGTTAAGATTCATATTGTCCTGATAGTTATGGTGTGATAACCCTTTTAGCAGTTTAAAAAAATATACTATATTATTAACTATACACTATGTTATTAACTATAAGCAGCCAGGTTATGTGGTAGTTTCCTTGAATCATTCTTTCTGTGTAATTGGAATGTTATTTCTTTTGACCAACATCCCTCCAAACCCTACCCCTGACAACCATCCCAGCCACCATTGTACTCTGCTTCTAGGATGTGAGCCTTTTAAGTTCCACATGTGAGTGAGGTGATACAGTAATATGTATATTTAAAATTAATGTTACCATCTTCCCTCCAAAAATTGTATAAATTTAGAAATTTTGTGGCAAATGTTTTAAATCAAATCTCTGCCCAGTTACTAAAAGTTGGCTTGTAGCTATTCTTGAATACTAATTATTATATAGTGATATCATGCTGTAACCACCCATAATGCATTGTAGTTTTAGTTGAGGTCTTTAGAGCAAATGGGAAGGGATAACCATTTGTTATGTGTTGTATTTGAATATGAGTCCAAGAGCAAAAGGGATCATGTGGATTATGTATTTGACCTTTATACTGATGGAAAATGTTTGCTACACTATTTTTGAGTCACCTTACTATTTAGAGTTTGTTAAAATACTTCAAAGAAATGGAAAGTTAATTATATCGTAAGTCAAGCTATCATGTCTTTGAATTGCTTTTATGGAAACTGAAATATTCCTTTTTTTTTTTTTTTTTTGCTTGTTGTGGGGCTTGAACTCAGGGCTTGGGCACTGTACCTGAGCCTTTTTGTGCCCAAGGCTAGTGATCTAGCACTTGAGCCACGGGGCCCACTTCCAGCTTTTTCTGAGTAGAGAGTCTTATGGACTTTTCTGCCCAGGCTGGCTTTGAACTGCGATCCTCAGATCTCAGCCTCCTAAGTAACTAGGATTGCAGACATGAGACACCGGAGCCTGGCTAAAATACTCCTTTCTAAAACTACTGATGCATGATTTTGCGTGACTTCACCTTTTGAAAGACTTAAAAAGAACTAATTTATATGGGAGTTAAGGTTATCATAACAAAAGTGATAGTATTTTAAGGTTTCAAAGGATTATTAAAACAATACTAAGATGACAACTTCTGTCAAGAGAAATTCTTGGGACCAAAGAAGGGACAAAAGGCTTTTACAGCTCAGACTTTAAAATCTGATTTGGTTATGAACAGAGCAGAGCTGTCAGAGAAGCATTAGGAAGAGGTCAGTGTGATGTCTTTTTCTTTACATGATTGGAATGTTTTATGGAGAAACAGACAGTTGAAGACAGTTTTAAAAGAAACAAAAATATGAACAAAAAATGGAAATTTGGTCTAAGTTCAGCAAGAAAAGTAGGATGAAGTTAAGTTTCAAAAGTTAGAGGAAAAAAAAAAAGAAGGAAAGGGCTAGGAACTGATTTTTTTTTTTTTTTTTGTAAAATCAATGTATAAGATGCCAACCCACACAGAAGAGTTGTATGTCTTCTTAAAGACACGCTTTGCAGTATACACGTATGGAAGATAGCTCATATGTTTGTGAAACTTGAAGATATTGTAGTGTCTTATTGTTTTCTTCTCTTGGAGCCAGTGTTTACTGGATATTGACATCCCCTGGTACCCTCCTACAGATGTGGGACTAGTCCTGCAAGCACAATTTACTCAGAACTCAAGGTTGAGTATGGTATTTTAAGAAACCTGGGCACCATTTTCACTTTGGTACACTTGTGTAGATTCTGGGAATCTGCCTCAGATTTTGCAATACAAGTTGAATGTGTTTTCTCTCACCTGTCTACTTCTGATAATTCTTGTTTGTTTATTTTTGTTTGTTTGTGTTTGTTTTTGCTTTTTGTTTTTTGTTTGGTCGTGGGGACTTAACTCTGGGCCTGGCCTCTGTCCCTCAGCTCTTCAGCTCAAGGCTAGCACTCTACCACTTGAGCCACAGCGCCATTTCTGGCTTTTTCTGTTTATGTGGTGCTAGGAATCGAATCCATGCATGTAAGCACTCTACCACTGAGCCACCTTCTCAGCCCTGATAATTCTTGTTTTACATCAGTATGTGGGCCAGAAATTTTTCTCTGTCGTCCAATACAATTCATTCTCTGTAACTTGTACATTTTGTTTAAAAGAAAGTTTTAATTATTGAGTCCTCATGTTTTCTCATAAATCCCCAATCATACATATTTCTGATTGTGTAGGGAACTGTTATCATTTGGGAATTGACTGTTGAAATAAGTTATAAAAAAATTAGAATGAGACTCAATAGATCCTTTTCTATTTTCCTGACGATAGAGAAGGATCTATGGAGTCTGTCCAAGCATCCTATAGCCTTCTGTTTTCATGGAGAAAGAAAGCATTATGGTCATAACTATCAGGCTCAGATCTACTTGTTCTTGAACTTGGAAACAATTTGTTGTAACTAGTTGTCACTAGTGTTCTGAGTCACTTGCAGAATTTCCTTGTAATAACATATGTGGTGTCAGCTTGCCCAGGATGAAGGTAGTTACGTCGGTGGCTTTGCAGTGGTTGAGTATCACTCTGCAGAGCAGGCTGAGGAAGCCCAGCAAGTGGCAGATGGCATGACCGTCAGCGGGGGCAGAGTCCAGGTGTCCTTCTGTGCCCCAGGAGCGCCAGGGCGAAGCACCTTAGCAGCACTGATAGCGGCCCAGCGTGTGGTAAGTGCAATTTGGTCTGTTCCTTAAAGTTATAGGAAACTCCTAAGACTATCTTCATCTAGGCTTTCTATCTAAAGTCATGGATTATCCATTGAACCATTATTATATTTGAATTCATCCTCTCTGAAAATTGATGATGTCTTTGTAAGATCAAGCCAGAAGTTGTTACAGAGAAAGAAATCGTATTTAGTAAAAATGTATTCGTCTTGCGAAGTTCTGTGAAGGAAGTTTATTTGTTCAGTAAATGTTGGAGTTGCCCTTCTGCTGTGAGTTTTGAGTGTATTGTGCCTGTATTGGATGTTTTCAGAAATATTCCTAAGTATGAGTTAAGAAAGGCGTGTGTCTCCATTCAGCTCATACAGTGCTTCCCTCTTTATTATCACCGTCGACTTCTCCCTCTCCACGTCTCTGTCCTGAAGCCCCAAAGACGGGACTCTATGCAGAGGGCTTTTACCTCAGCCCTCAGCCATAGCAAATAACTTTTGACTTAATGAAGGGCGAGATACACTTTTGAAAAACTGGGGAAGACTTCATGAAGCAGGTGACACATTTGAGTGTGGCATTAAACAATGGCATATGTGGATGGGTAGAGGATAAGATTGCCAAATACAGATTTTTTTTCATGAGACACTCGTGTTAACAAATCATTCATTGTTTATCTGAACTCCCAGTTTAACTGAGCAGCCTGTATTTTGATTTGCTAAATCTGACAACTGTGAGGAGGGAGACTGCGTAGTGACTCAGTAAAGCAGACAGCTCGAGCAGTGGTCTGAGCTGGTTTATGTGCTTGTAAGCGATCAGCTTGGACAACTACTCAGAGATAAGTATGGGAAGGTGGGAGGTTGATGTCAGCAGGGGAGACTGGCATACCCAGGGAAATTAAACTGGATTTGATAAGAAATGGAGAGCTAATAAAATATATAAACAAGGCAAGCCATGGTGAGAGTAGTCCGAAACTGACTTGTAGATGAGGTACAGAGAGAGGAAGGTAGAGGATAGGGGATCAGACAGGACATGGCTGTTTGCCCTCACTTCCATCTCTACCCTCCTCCTTCTCTTCTCTCATCTCGCTTCTGATCCTACAGCCTGTCTTCTCTTAGCCGTCTCCTTACAACTTCTTTCACCATTCTATAATTCACTACTTTAGCCATGGTTCCCCATCAACTTCAGTTCCTCTGGCTAAGCTGTCTCTGTTGGATTGTGGAGTTTACAATTCTGAATCCATTCCAGTCACCACCTACTTCCAAAGTCAGGGCACTAACTTCTCATGGAGACAAATAAGCAAGTGGGTGTCAATGCCTAGGAATGGCATCTGTTGAGCGCTGGCCCAGCAACCTGCAGCTTGTCACTCGTCTGGTCTTTGGCATTTCCCACAGCAGTGTCTAAAATCTGCACCCTGTTCCTGCTTCTGTCCTTCTTTCTGTCACATGATCATGGGTTCTACTTTATAGAGACTGAAGGCTACATGTTAGATTCATTCAAGCAATTTTTCTTATTTCTGGCTTCCTTCTTTGATTAATACCATTCATTCCACAAGTACTTACTTGGTGCTGGCTTCATTCATAGTGAGAGCTGTCAGAATTCACTGCTGTTTATTAGAGATCCCTGCTCTCTTGCAGGAAGCAGAGCCTCTGTAACCAGAGTCCCAGGTCAGAGGTCTGTCTCTAGGGGTCTCACATCCCAGGTCCAGCCACTTAGCCCAATATGCCAAATAAGGAGACAAGCAGTGGTAAAGGAAAGTGATTAAGATGGCATGGGAACACAAAGTAAGCATTTCAGCCCATCTTTGGGGCACAGGCATGAGTTTTAGAAGAAGAATTGGGGGAGGGAAGAGAAGTCTGCTTAGTTAAGCAGCTCTGGGCAAAGGGTGACATGGTTGTTTATTGTCTTGGTTCTGCTTCTGAGAGGGAGCCCAGAGAGGAGCAATCTTGTTGACATGAAACCATCATTCCTGCTCCATAGTACAGCCTCATCATTAGAAGTGTTATAGGTGATGGTCCTCACTTGGGGAAGATGCCCTGCAAGTAGGAGGAGGAGGAGGAATACTATTTATAGGTATAAATTATTATTGAATCTGGGTTTTTTTTTTGATCAGTTATAAGTCCTAGAGACTTATATGTCTGCTTTTTGTACTATCTTGACTCTTTTCATCATTGCATACTATTTCATTAAATATAGATTTTTCTTGTTGTTATTGAGAGAGACTTCTCCAGATATTGTTCTTTACAACTATACAATCAGAATTTCTCAAAAAAGTTGAGTCCCATTCATTATTCTCATTTCTTACCCATTTCCTTGTCAGCCTAACTCATGCATTATAGTTTCTGCCTTTGCTACTAAAGTGACTATACTGTCATGGAGATTAGCGGAGATTTTTTAGTATTCATATCTAATGGGTATTCTTCAGTCTTGTTTTGGTGCCAGTCCTGGGGCTTGAAGTCAGGGTCTAGGCACTGTCCTTGAGCCCTTTTTTTTTGTTCAAAGCTTGTGTTCTGCCACTTGAGCCACAGCTCTACACGTAGCTTTTGGGTAACTAATTGGAGATAAGAGTCTCATAGACTTTCCTGCCCAGGGTAGCTTTGAATGGCAATCCTCAGATCTCAGCCTCCTGAGTAGCTAGGATTACAGGTGTGAGCCACTCATACCTGGCCTTCTTCAGTCTTTCATTATTTGATCTTGGTACTCTTAAGACTCTTCTATGGGGGTGGGGGGAGGATTGGGTGGGGGGGGGAGCGGAAAGGGCCGGGAAGAGATGGGAAGGGGAAACAAAGGAGCGGCAACAATGCTTGATAAGAAATGTCTCATTATCTTGCCCATGTAATTGTAACCCCTCTGTATGGTATTTTCACAATAAAAAAAAAAGGACTCTACTATGGTCATGTAGTAAATGCCTATCATCCCAGCACTTGGAAGGCAGACGTAGGAGGATCACCAGGGCTCACCACTGAAGAGAAAGGGGCAGAAGGATTACCATCCTGGGCTGCATAGCCAGTCCAGTCCAGCCTCAGCTAAAAGGGAGATACTGTCTCACTACAAAGTAAAATATGAAAAAAAAAAACATTCTCAACGTCCAGAGTACATTGTAGGCATCTATGGAAATCTTACAATGAAACCCTCTATGCAACAAATGAATATAAATAAAAATATGAAAACGACTACCATGAATTCTGCCACAGTGGTGGTGTTCTTCTGCTGCTTCTGTTTTTGCCCTAACTTGTTTCCTTCACCTAGCATAGTACCAGCAGGCTTCTGTATTTCCTCTTTCTCCTTCTTCCTCGCAGATGCTCTTCATTGTTCAGTTATTGCCTATTAATAGTAACTCACATGTATATATCCGCTAATATTTCAAGTGATTGGTTAGAATAGATTAGACCTCCTAACCTCCTGTTAAAGACATTGTTTCAACATTTCCAAAGGAAATTATTTTCCCAGAGGCGTGCTTTTCCAGGTCCTAAGTTATATATATAATCAACCTTAAACTCTGTGTGCCATCCACTTAGTCAGTCATGTTCTCCCTTAGCCATACCCAGATCTGCTTGTAGGAAAAATATCAAATCTTTTCAGTTCTGCTTCAAAAATCGCAGGTCCTTGTGGCCATATCAGTCTTTTATTTTATACAAGAGTCTCATCTTTTCTTACCAGTGAGACTAGAACCACTCCCAATGTGGTCCCTCAGTTACTAGTCTTCTTCTAATCCATCCTCCGCTGTGATGTGAGTTATTCTTCCCATCCCCATACTGGGTAGGCTGCTCTCTTGCTCCACATTAAAAAAAAAATTATTTTATTGTAAAGATGCTGTACAGAGAGGTTACAGTTACTTAATTAAGGTAATGAGTGCATTTCTTGTCGAGCATTGTTACCCCCTCTTTTGTTTTTCTTCTACTATCCCTTTCCTTCTCCACCTCCCCATTGATCCACATTCTTTAATGAGAACTGCTCTAGCAGTTCTAAGTCCTCACTTAGACTGACACACAGACCACTTCGTGGCTACCTACCTAGCAGCAACAGTGGAACATCTTCAGTTTTTCTTAATCTTCAAAATAAGTTATGAAGTGCAAAATATACACATACTGCTATCCTTCTATGTGATGTTTTCTATGGGATTTTAATACAAAACATTTTTTGGTACTAGGGTTTGAATGAACTCTGCCTCATGCTTATATCAGTTGCTTGCATAGCTGGCACTCTACTACTTGAGTCATACCTCCAGCCCAGCTTTTTTTGTTGTTGGTCCTGAGGCTTGAACTCAAGGCCTAGATACTGACCTGAGCTTCTTTTGCTCAAAGCTAGCACTTTATCACTTGAGCCACAGTGCTACTTAGAGCTTTTTCTGAGTGGTTTATTGGAGATAGGAGTCTCCCAGAGACTGCCCTGCCCATATCTTACGTATCTGCTTCTCACTGTCCCTGAGCTTGCATGTCCCCCGGACTAATTCCTCTATTCTATGGCTGTCACTGGGCCTTGCTGCTGTTTTTCTGCCTTGTTTGTCTGACCAGGAGAGCCAGGCCCCCTGAAGGCAATGTAGAGGAAAGATCTCAGTTGTGAACTCAGAGCTCTTCCTTGAATTGCCCTGTGTGGCTCCAGGCTCTCTCCTGCAACCGTTCTGGTCCCCTGCACACCTTCTCTCCCCCCAAGGATTTGTTGCTGTTTTATAATCAGGTTTATGGCAGTTTCTCAGAGTCATCTTTTTTCCCTTTCAGTTTCAGTGTCTAGATTGAGAGAGCCAGATTTCCTTGTCAAGTCTCCATTTTCTCATTACTAGAAGTTTCGTGTTTTTCGTTTCTATTGTTATAGATCTTCATAGATCAGGCTAGTTTTGTTTTGTTTTTTGGGTCCGGTCGTGGGGCCTAAACCCTGGGCCTGGGCGCTGTCCCTCAGCTCAAGGCTAGCGCTCTACCACTTGAGCCACTTCTGGCTTTTTTTCTTATTGCTTATGTGGTGCTGAGGAATCGAACCCAGGGCCTCATGCATGCAAGGCAAGCACTCTACCACTGAGCCACCTTCCCAGCCCGAGGCTAGTTTTTTTTTTTTTTTTAATTTAATTTTATTTTATTTGAGAACATACTGTACAGAGGGGTTACAATTACATGGTCAGGATAATGCATACATTTCTTACCAAGCATTGCAGCCTCCTCCTTTGTTTACCCTTCACCTCCCTTCCCACCCTCCCCCCTCCCCCCCACCCAATCATACCCCCCCTCCTCTCCCCTCCAACATTGTAAAGCTGGTTTTGACATGACATTTTGTACTTCTCATTGTTGCAACAGGTCCACCTGAATCCTTAAACGACTTGTTTGTCCCCATCTCCTCCACATGTTATACTGACATCAAATATAGTGAAAGTGGGGGTTACACTGTGGGGGAGGGACATACAAAGCAACCAAGAAATAATCTTATAAATGCGTTAGAAACACATGCATGAAAGAAACAAAAACATTAAAATACATATTTGAGGGTTCGTTTTCCTAACATCACATTCTCTGACTTTTTCCGCTTGACTCATACCTATACTAGATATTGCAAATAAGGGAAACCATGGGACCTATGTTTCTTTGGGCCTGGCTTACTTCACTTAATATAATTTTTTCCAAGCCTTTCCATTTCCTAACAAATGGGGCAATGTCATTCTTTCTGATGGAGGCATAGAATTCCATTGTGTATATATATCACATTTTCTTGATCCATTCATCTATTGAGGGGCATCTGGGTTGGTTCCATATCTTAGCTATGGTAAATAATGCTGCAATAAACATAGTTGTGCTGGTAGCTTTAGTGTGGTCTTGTTTGTAAACATTAGGGTAAATGCTCAAAATTGGGATTGCTGGGTCATAGGGGAGTTCTATGTGAAGTCTTTTGAGGAACCTCCATACTGCTTTCCAAAGTGGTTGAACAAGTTTACATTCCCACCAACAATGAAGTAAGGTTCCTTTCTGTCCACATCCCCTCCAGCATCTGTTGTTGTTAGAGTTCTTGATTTTTGCTGTTCTAACTGGAGTGAGGTGATATCTCAATGTTGTTTTGATTTGCATTTCTTTTATGGCTAGGGATGTTGAACATTTCTTCATGTGTCTATTGGCCATCCTTCTTTCTTCTTCAGAGAAGCTTCTCTTTAAGTCTTTCGCCCACTTACTTATTGGGCAGTTGTTTCTTTGAGGATTTGTTGTTGGGTGGTTTAATTTTTTGAGTTCCAAGTATATTTTAGATATGAGACCCTTGTCCGTTGTATGGCTAGTAAAGATCTTCTCCCAGTCCGTGGGCTTTCTATTGATCTTGCTAGCTATGTCATTTGCCCTGCAGAAGCTCTGCAACCTTATACAATCCCATTTGTCCAACCTTTCTTTGATTTGTTGTGTTTCCGGGTCTCTATTCAGAAAATTTCGGCCTGAGCCAAGGAGACCCAGGGTTTCTCCTATTCCATCCTATAATGTTTTCAGAGTGTCTGCTTTGAGTTCAAGGTCTTTGATCCATTTGGAGTTGATTCTGGTGCAGGGTGATATATAAGGATCTGAGGCTAGTTATTTTTAAAACCAAATAGTTATATCCAATTACCTGTGTACAAAGTCAGCTTATTTTAGTTTTGTATTAGATTTGCAATATAAAAATTATTTGCAAGACAACCTACATTATTAGTCTTCAGATCAACAGTATAGTAAGGCTCTTGTGTAGTTTTGAAGATACATATTGTGTCAGATTTTCCTTGTTACCCTCTTATGTGCCTATTGTGAAGAGATTTGCTCCCCTAGATGTGAGTCTTTGTGAAAACAAATGACATTTAATTGACATTCATGAAGATTTCATGTCATATGTAAAATAGAACAGCTCAATTAACTTAAAAGCTGGATAGAAAGCAAACAACTAGTTCAAGTTGTGTTAGTCAGAAAATAGATCTTTGATGCATGAGAATTGCTAGGGGAAAACCTTTAAAATGCTGTCTTTTGTATCCACGCTTGTTCTAATGTTCGTTGCTGTATTCATGGAAGACACACAGTAATCAAAAGGGATTACTTCCAGAGCCTAATCCTGTACAAATTATGAGAAGTTTAAACAACCCCGCCATGTTACAAGTTCTTCTGCAGCCGCAGCTGTGTGGACGAGCCGTCAAACCAGGTAAGGAGTCCTCATTAACCCACAACACTGGGGCGAAGCTGATTGGGCCACCGTATGTGTGGAATGTGGAAAACAGGTTCACATGCTAAAAACCACAAATAAATAACATTTTTAATTTCTAATCAGATATCTGAGACAGCAGTGTATTTTGACTGCTTTTTGTAAATTACAATCTGCTTACGTGTTTCCTATTTTGTTTACCATTAATACAGATTAAATACTAAACCTTAAACCTAGCTTCTTCATTGGCATGATTCGAAACCAAGTAAACATTACCATACCACTTCTTGGATCGTTCTTGTCATCTGAGGTATCCTGGTGTAGGCTCAGATGCGGGAACATTTGGTTTCCAGGTCAATTTGTTTCACTAGTCCCTTTTAGTTTAGTTTTTTTTATTGTTTTGTTTTTGTTGAGGCAGAGTCTCAGTGTTTACTCAAGACTGATCTTGAATCCATGATCCTTTTAAAAAAATTATCTTGAAGTAGTTGTACAAAGGAGGTGCTTTTTTTTTTTTTTTAATTTAATTTTATTTTATTTGAGAACATACTGTACAGAGGGGTTACAATTACATGGGCAGGATAATGTGTACATTTAAAGGAGGTGCTTTTTAACAAAGAGTTCACAGATACCATGCATCTTATCCGTGTCACCCCTTTCAGCATTCTTCACCCATCCTTCCCCTATCTATCCTTCCCTCACTTTCTTAATTTTGTAGGATAAACATTGGACACTGGTCTTCATTATCTCCTCTTCATTTGTTTACCTTTCTCCCCTTGCCCCACCATACCCCTTCTGAGTACTTGCTTCCTGGTGTTTTATTTTACTACTTTGATTTTGGCTTTCTAAGGAATTACACTATTTGAAGTCTCCCTTGAATCTACCATATTTCAGTTAATACATTTGTCTTCGCCTCCGGAGTGCTAGGATTACAGGCCTGTGTCACCATGCTTGGCACTGTTTTTATTTTTTCAATTTTGCTACTTGTTCATTATGAAAAGCTTTTACCAGTTCCTTCTCTGGAACTGTGAATATTTTTGTAAATTATATATGTGTAATTTTGTATGTATGACTATTTCCATCTGCTTCATAATACTTAGGTGAAATATTTTCATGTATTTTCTATCTTATTCTCTTCTGAAATGAACTCTGATATTTAAACTCTTAGATTTGAATAGAATATGCTTATCCTTTATTCCTCTTTCTCTGCCTAGTGTTGTTGTTATGTCTTTTGTTTTTAGTGTGTAAATATTTCCGTGTGCATAGATTATTTTTTCAGGAGGTTTCTTTCTTTTTTTTGTTGGTGGTGGGGCCTGAACTCTGAGCCTGGGTGCTGTCCCTCAGCTCTTCAGCTCAAGGCTAGTGCTCTACCACTTGAGCCACAACCAGCTTATTCTGTGTATGTGGTGCTGAGGAATCAAACCCAGGGCTTCATGCATGCAAGGCAAGCCCTCTACCACTGAGCCACCTTCCCAGCCCCTGCAGGAGATTTCTAAGAACAGGGATCATGTCTTTCCACTATCTTCTCATAGCATCCTCCTTTCCCCCAAGAAAGCACTGTCCAGGCACAGGTGGCTCATACCTGTACTCCTAGCTAGGCAGGAGGCTGAGATCTGAGAATTACAGTTCAAAGCCAACCCAGGAAGGAAAGTCCATGAGACTTATATCAAATTAACTACCATAAAGCTGGAAGTGGAACTGTAAGCTCAAGTAGTAAGAGTGCTAACCTTGAGCAAAACATGCTCAGGGACAGGACCCAGGCCCTGAAGTCAAGCCCCAGGAACTGCACACACACAAAACAAAAACAAAACAAAACACTGAGCAAAATTCAGTGGGTTTAATTAGTTCTGAACTTATGAAAAGATTGAACTTGTTTTATTGCATTAGGGGCTAGAGAAGAATTAGCCTAAGTTTAGTGTTTCACAGTGATGGCAGAAAGTAATCCAATTTCAAGAGTTAATTCTGCTAATTCCAGAGTTGAATTGTAAGGGAAGTGGCCTGACACTTTTAACCAGTGAACCAAAGATTGGTATGTCACCAAACGGCTGATGAATTTGCTGAAAGTTTAAAGAAATGTCTTGGAGCTTATTTTGCTGTTAATTTCGCATGTCCGTTGGTTAACTTTTTCTTTTGTTTTCCCCAAGCAGTTCTGGGAACACCTCACGGCCTGTCCCACCTGGTAAACCCATCCGTCTCCCCTGCGTTTTTGCACCTGAGTAAAGCACATCAGGTATGTCAAGGCACCGTGGTGGGCTGTAGCGCCAGGCCACGGCCACGTGCTCATTCTCAACCCACAGAGTTCTTAGCAGTTACTTGAGTATTTTGCTTTTTACTATTTGTTGGTCGTGGGCCTCAACTCTGAGCCTGGGCGCTGTCCCTCAGCTCTTCAGCTGAAGGTGAGCGCTCTACCACTTGAGCCACAGTGCCACTTCCGGTTTTGGTGTGGTTAATTGGAGATGAGAGTCTCACTGACTTTCCTGTCCAGTCTGGCATTGAACTGTGATCCTCAGATCTCAGCCTCCTGAGTAGCTAGGATTACAGGTGTGAGCCACCAGCACCCAGCTAGTATTTTGCTTTTAAAGTATATCCTTAATAAATACAACTGCAATATATCACATATGAGTATATCAGATCCAGTTAAGTTAATCAAAATAGCATGGTAATTATGTTGACTCCGATTTGTAGGGTCTTAAGAAGGAAAGAGGTCTGTTTCATGGTATTTATTTTTAATGTATCTTTTTGCTAGATAATGGATAGATAGTGCAAAACAAGCTTATGTAGTCTTAACTACATTTATAAGCCAGGCAGCATGGCTCAGATGTATTACTCCGCTATTTGGGAGGTAGATAACTGGAGATCTTGGTTTGAAGGCAAAAACGCTTGCCATACACAACCTCAGCCCGTGGCTGGGTACGGTGGCATGTGCTGCTCTTCCTAGTGACAAGGGGAAGGAAGCACCTAATTTTTAAAAAAAGATCACGTTCCACAATGCTGTGAATTATGTGAAATTTATGTAATCACCTAACCTCAATTAGAAAAAAAACGAGAGAAGAGATGGGTTAGGAGGGATGGGCGACAACGTTGTCAGACACCTTGTGCTCATATACTGTTTTATAGAATGGGAACGTCTTTGTACAACTACTTAAAGAGATAATAATAAAAAAAAATGTAAAAAAAAATGGACTGAACCAAACCGGGAAAGAGCAAGGAAAGGGGTAGCATTGTCCAAAAAGATGTCCTCTTTTCCTGACTTATGTAACTGTATCACTTTTTAATAACTTTTATAATAACATCACTTTTATAATAACAATTTTAAAAAATTAAAAATTTTTAAGGAAAACAAGGATCATGGGTTCAGATCAGTCTTGAGTACACAGTAAGACTCTGCCTCAGCAGAAACAAAACTTTAAAAAAAAATGAAACACTGAACTAAAAAAGACTAGTGAAACAAATTGACCTTCAAACCAAATGTTCCAACATCCAGCCTACACCAGGACACCCCAAAAGACAAGAATGACGCAGCATTCCAAGAGTTAATCAACTCACAGGGACTATGTAATTTACCAGCTTTCCAAGAATAAAGCCCTCCTTCAAAAACAATCAATGGCAAAAGGGGCTGGGGGCCCAGCTATAATAGTAAAGTGCTTGCTTAGCAAGCTTGTGACCTTGAGATTAAACTCAGGACTGCTGTCACCCTCCAAACATTTTTATAGAAACAAATAAATAAAGAATAATTCTTGAAATTAAGTATTATAAAAATTCATATACTCTTGAGAGTAAGGAATATTTTTCTTACCATTTAAAAATATTTCAAATATGTGCATGATATTGGAGACAAACATAATGAAATAAGTATTACTTTGAAATTCTTTAAGAATCCATAGTACTGATTAAAAGGCAAAGCTGTTATATAGTAAGTGCTTGTATAGGGGCTGGGAAGGTAGTTCAGTGGTAGAGCGCTTGCCTTGCATGCCTGAGGCCCTAGGTTCGATTCCTCAACACCACATAAGCAGAAAAAAAGCTGGAAGTGGCGCTGTGGCTCAAGTGGTACAGCGCTAGCCTTGAGCTGAAGAGCTGAGGGACAGCGCCCAGGCCCAGAGTTCAGGCCCCACGACCGGACCCCCCCCCCAAAAAAAAAAAAAAAAAAGAAATGGCGTAAGTGCTTGTATAGGGTTGGGTAAATGAACATGTGGTCCTAAGCCCAGCTTTTATTTTTTTATCCTCACAGTCCTGACAGGACTGATGACATCTCTATTCATTCATTCCCTCAGCATACTGTTATTGTGAATTAGCACATATACTATACTCTGCTCATCACTGATGACCCAGTGTCCCACAGCACATTCATTGGGAAAACAGACATGAAACAGTGATTACAATTAAGTATGGAGAGTATGAATTGGGGTACAGGCGTAGAGTTAGTATTGATAATATTCGCTTTGTGTTAGGAGAAAAATCAGGTACATTTTAAGCTTGCTTTGAAAGCTTGTGCAGGTGGGTCCTTCTGTTTCCTAAGCTCATTGTCTGCTGTTCCCGGGATCTGGTTCTCTCCTGCTCAGTCCCCTCCTGATGTCTGAGCTGTCTGTAGCACCTCACCCCACAGCCCTAACTGCCCATACCTCACTCACCTCTTCCAGCCTTCAGATCTTAGCACCTGAGCTCGGTCCTCAAGGAAACTGCCCTCCTATCTTCCAGGCTCTGCTAGAGTGCTCCAGCATTTGCATAGTCTCTTGCTTGTTCCTCATGCAATTGCCATTTGTAATCTTACATATTTTTTGTAAGCTTTGTTTGTTTTGGTGCCAGTCTTAGGGTTTGAACTCAGGGCTTGGGCTGCTCAAGGCTAGTGTTCTACCACGTGAACCACAGCTCCACTCCTGGCTTTTTGGTGGTTAATTAAGAGTCTTGTAGACTTACTTTGCCTCCTGGGCTGACTTTGATCTATGATCCTCAGATCTCAGCTTCCTTAGTAGCGAGGATTACAGGCATGAGCCACCAATGTCTGGCAATCTAACATATTTTTGTAATTAAAATCTCACTTTTTCTGGGGGACTGTAAGATCCATGAGGCCCAATCATTGTCTTAAATTTCTCGGTATACAACGTAGTACCTGACAAATAGGAGCTGCTCAGTACATCTTCGCTGAGTGAGTGAGTATTGGCAAGCATGTGAGTATAATGTCAGTGTCATCAGGGGGAGAGAGGAAAAGGACAGCAGGGGCAGAGGTGGAGTTGCTCTCATGATGGCATGGCCACTTCTTGTGTATTCTTGAGAAAATGAAACAGCCCTGCCGAAAGTAGGAAAAGGGGTATCACATAACACTGTGGCTTCTACTCAGATCCATTGGAGAACTGAATTTTAAGATGAACACGATAGCTTTTCAAAATTAAACCAACTTACTGTTTTGTCACGTTCACAGAGCTCAGTTATGGGTAGTACTTCTAACGTATTCCTTCAGAATCTGACTCACATATCTCTGGCACAACAACAATTAATGAAGTTTGAGAATATCCCTACTAATAATGTAAGTATCACATTTTCTTTTGGAATGAGTCGGTTCCTTTTCTGGAATCCGGCTGGTGATCAGCTTGTGCATTTCATGTGTGTCCTCTGTGTATGGCTGTAGCTGTCAGCCAAGGGCAGAGCCTTACTTTGTTTCCTCCTCCTCTTGCAGAAGCCTGGCTTACTTGGAGAGCCCCCGATTATGGTCCTGCCCAGCACTCTAGGGCTGGGGCCTGCACTTCCTCTGAAGGCAGAGCTGGCACATCACGGAGAGGCACGCAAAAGTAAGTGATGGGTATTTGCCAAAAGTCAGTCCCGCTCAGGCTGGAGATTTAAAGGTAGTTTATTGCTGGGCTCCAATGGCTGAGGCCTGTAATCCTAGCTGTGCAGAAGACTGAGATCCAAGGGTTGTGGTTCAGAGCTAGCCCAGGCAGAAAAGTCAGTGAGATTCTTATCTCTAATTAGCCAGCAAAAAGCCAGAAGTGGAGCTGTGACTAGATGGTAGAGAGCTAGCCTTGAGGAAAAAAAAGCTGAAAGGTATTTCACAGGCCATGAGTGCAAGTCCTAGAACTAGCACAGAAATAAACAAGACTATTTACCTATATTCTGCATTTATTTATAGGAGGGTCCATTTTGAGCTATCGTAGACATTTCAAATTTCAGGAGCCCTCTTGACTTCCCTCTATTTAATATTGATAAGTTATTGATGGGTCTGCTTCCATGCCAACATAAGACAGCCCCTGCTGGATATGCTTTAATCTTTCATGCAGCTCCCAGCAGCATGAGGTGAAGATCCAGACAGCAGATGCACACATCCATTTCACTCTCGCCTCAGCTTTTTATAAAAGGAATAACTAGCACTTGCAAGAAAAGTTTACTTACTTGAATCATTTTAAAATTAGTACAGAAAACATTGTATATGTAGTGTAGATAATACTCAGCACATGGCAAAGGAGGCATTATTATTATTATTATTATTAATATCTGAAGACAGGAGTATAGCTTTACTTCTTACTGGAATGTGATTTTGAAAGTCTGTTAGACATGGACATGCTTAGTGGAAACCTAGTGTCATCAGTAATTTAAAAGTCAGCCAAATATAGGGAACTGTCTTCACACTTGTGCTCAATGAGTAATTCAGGCAGTTCTGACATTGAAATTGATTGGGCGAAGGTTGAATCAAGATATTTTTAGGACATTAAAGAGCCTGTCCTTCCAAAAACTTGAACTTTCTATGACTAAAAGCGATGCAAGTGTTTATCATAACTTATGTTAAATAAGCCTTGCTATAGTTTGTGCTCTTTGAAAAGTACTGAAAATTCAATGTTTAAGTAATCTTCTTACTAAAAAGATAAAAGAACTTAAGAAGCTATCTCTAAGCATTTAGTGCTCAAAATTATTTGCGAGATTTGTGTCAGTGAATTTGTGAGACATAATTTAGATTTAAAGTGGTTACACAGGCTCTTTCCATTTAATTTTTTTGTTTAGTTGAGAGGGGTTACGCAGGCTGGTTTTGAAATATGTGGGTTCACATCCTTCTGCTTCAGAATAAGAATAGCTGGGACTCTACATGTCTGCCACCTGCCTAGATGACCTACAGATTTTTTATTTTTATTTATTTTAATTTTTTTTGTTGTTGGTTATGGGGCCTGAACTCTGGGCCTGGGTGCTGTCCCTCAGCTCTTCAGCTCAAGGCAAGCGCTCTATCACTTGTGCCACAATGCCACTTCCGGCTTTTTCTGCTTATGTGGTGCTAAGGAATTGAACCCAGGGCCTCATGCATGCAAGGCAAGCACTCTACCACTGAGCCATCTTCCCAGCCCAACCTACATATTTTTAAACAGTGAAATAATTATGAATTTTCCCATTAAAACTTTTATTTCTTTTAGAATTTTATTTCTTGCAAATAAAAGCATTATACTTTTGTGTGTTAATGTTTATCTAGCACAAATACTGATTCCTTCCCACCACCTTCCCCTAAAAAAAAAAAAAAAAAAAAAGTCTTGGTATTCTGGTGTTGAAGAACCAGACCTTTAGGCTTAAAAAACATCTGGGGGGCTGGGAAGGTGGCTCAGTGGTAGAGCCCTTGCCTTGCATGCCTGAGGCCCTGGGTTCGATTCCTCAGCACCACATAAGCAAAATAAGCCGGAAGTGGCGCTGTGGCTCAAGTGGTAGAGCTCTAGCCTTGAGCTGAAGAGCTGAGGGACAGCGCCCAGGCCCAGAGTTCAGGCCCCACGACTGGACCCAAAAAAAAAAAAAAAATCTGGGAGAAAAATAGCAATGGGAAGACACTGGACTTAAGTTGAGAAGAGATGCTAGGTACCCTGGTTTTTATTAGGTGAGGCCAGACAACCAGTGTTGGGTCAGTCCAGCCTATTGTCAAAGGATTTAATAAAACTAAAAACTTATTATCTTTAAAGAATGGAAGCAGGTGGGCAGGGACGTGGCTTATTTGGTAGAGTGCCTGCCTATCAAGTTCAAACCTCAGTATCATTAAGAAAAGAAAGAAAGAAGGGGTGGCGGGGAGAAGGGAAGGAGGGAGAAAGAAAGGGAAGGAGAAAGAAAGGGAAGGGGAGAGAGAGAAAGAGAGAGAGAGAGAGAGAGAGAGAGAGAGAGAGAGAGAGAGAGAGAGAGAAGGTTGGCTGGGCGCCAGTGGCTCACGCCCTTAATCCTAGCTACTTAGTAGGCTGAGATCTGAGGATTGAGGTTCAAAGCCAGCCCGGGCAGAACAGTCCCAATGAGACTCATCTCCAGTTAACCACTTAAAAACCGGAAATAGTGTTATGGCTCAAGTGGTAGAGCAGCTAGCCTTGAGCACAAAGAGGCTCAGGGACAGCACCCAGGCCCTGAGTTCAAGTCCCACAACCAAAAAAAGAAAGAAAAATTTAAAAATAAATAATGTGGAAGCAGATAAATCGAGCATTTTTAAGGTACTGACATAATTTAAATCACCAAATATACATAAACTTGTAAATAAACAATACTTATAATTAAAATATAATAATATTGAGATCATTCTGAAAGTAAGAAAGCGTTATTGTTTTAGATTTTATTTTTCACAAAGGAGCCTCCCAACTTAAAAGCCTAGCCTTACCATTTGAATTTTAAAGTTCTCTAGTGGGTACAAAATAGACTTTTCTACCTTGTACCTATAATGTAACAAAGTCAAAAAGACTGTTGCTGCCTGGCTAACAGCCTTTGCGTTTGTGGTTTACACAGCATCCACTCTGGTTCCAGCGCAGACAGCGGTGGCGGCTGGCATGGGCATGTTGCCCTTCTTCCCGGCTCAGCACAGTGTTGGCCAGGCTGGGCCAGGGCCTGGCGGTACTCAGGAGAAACAGCCAGCCACGGTGGGAACAGCAGATGGCAATTTCTCAGTGTCACAGCCTTGTCTTCAGAGCTTCCCAAACCTCACTGCTGGAGGCCTGCTGCCCGGACACCAGAAGCAACAGAGCCAACCAAAAGGCACAGAGATAAATCCAGAGGTGAGCAAACACATACACATAGGCTCATATGGGTACAGATGCTTCCAGGAGCCTCAGTGGGGTATTTCTAATACTAGCCATAGCCTAAATGTGATTGTTTTATAGGTGGTATAATTTTTGAAGCTTCATAAAATAATCCCTACTGTTTCTAAACTTGAAAGGAAGTTAATCATATACTTAATTTGTAAATCATGACACCTACGTGGTTGTAGGAAAATACAGTAAACAAACACATCGATATTCAAGATATGTGAATTTTGAGCATTGCTATGTAAAATGTTGAGTTGGGAATTCATTTTGTTGAATTTTTTTTTTCCATACTGGGGAATTAAATACAGGGCTATGTTCATGTTAGGCATTTGAGCAATTCTCCCAGAACATACTTCATTTTGGTTTTGGTCTTGCTTTTTTGAGACAGGGTCTTAATAGCTTTGTTCAGGAACCTTAAATTTGGTTTTTGCCTCTTGAATAGCTGGCATTATAGGCCTATAACACCATTCTGGCCTTATTTTTTGTGGGGGAGGGTGGAGTCCAGGGCTTTGAATTCAGGGCCTAACACTTGCAGCGCTCTGTCTTGTGAGCCAGACCCAAGCCCTTACTCCTGGCTTTTGTCGTTTGCTAAACTCATTTATTTTTAGCTGGCTATTACTTTTAGTACCAGAGATAAATATGATTTGCTTTTGCTATATCATATGAAATAAAAAGTCTTAGTAACTCATGTTAATACCTTTATTGTAGAAATGAGGTCTAGGTTGCATTGTGTTTTCTGGTAAAGATGAGTTCTTTCTGTTTCAAGTGTGAACATTGTACAGGACACCTTCCCTCCTATTTCAGTTCACAGTTCTAGGTCTAGAATGTTAATTTTTTTAATAGGAAAAATATTAACAGGTGAAAATAAAAGTAAATAAATATTCATAAGTATTTCACAAGTCTATGTTATCGATTAGGTTCCTCGAGTTTTAAGTCACACTAAACCAGATGTATTGAAAAATGTGTTTCCCTATTCTTTCTTCATTCTAAATTTATGCTAACCTCTTAAGTAGGGTTTATTAGTTGAACAGTATATATTAATTGTGTAAACAAGGGATTTCACTTTGACGACCATGCATACATGTAATCTTATCATATTCACCCCTCTATTTCCTCTGCCTCTTATGAAGCACCCCATCTTTTGTTTTTGACTGTAGACTGCTGCTAAGACCCAGACTTCGCTCCTGGGGGAACCTCCAAAAGAAGTCCGGCTCAGTAAAAATCCGTATCTGAACCTGGCGAGTGTGCTCCCCAGCGTGTGCTTACCGTGTGAGTGAGGGCTGTCACCTTGCACTTGCTCTGAGCGCTGTGCACAGTGACTTTACTTAGCTTTTAAAATCTCAGTGGAAACAAATAGTGTCCACTGACCAAATTATTCCCTAAATCACAAACCTACTCCTTAAAATGAAAAAGAAATTGATGAAAGTGAAGACTCCTAGAATGTAGAGGGGCAAGATCTTTAATAGTATTTTTATTAAAAATAAAATTATTTCATTGATTCATTATTGAGTCATGATTGAAAATATATAATGAGGGTGAAGGGACAGTTCGACAGTTCTCTGTGATTCTTTACAACACACAGAGGATTGTTTTACTACGTGCCGCAGATTGGCCGTGGATGGCGCTGGCTGCGAGCAGGACCTCACTTAGAGCGGACTGGGTCGCTGGGCTTCCACTCACCCTCCTTGTGCCATTGGGGTGTCTGAGCTGGTGCGATGAACCAGAGAGAAAGCCAGAACGAGGAACCGGAGCAACCCCTTCCTCTCTGAGGGTCTGTAGCCTTTGATCCTAAAGGTTGTGTCATCATAACTACCCATGCCAACCGTGGTCCCAGCCAAAATGCTGAGCCAGCCTTGACTCCTGAAGCTGTAAGTGCAGCCACTGCAGCACCAGGGTTGGAGGCGGGTCGCTCACACTGAGCTCTGTCCATCTCAGAACTCAGGAAGCGGGAGGGGCTGTTAGATAAGTGAGCTATGCTTGACCAAAAGGCAGTGGTGTGTTTGGCCTCCACCGCTCCAGAAGAGATCTCGGAGAAATTAAAAACGGAAGCTGGAGAACAGTTAAAGCAGGATGTGGAAATACATCCTCGAGGGACTATTTCTGTTGTGGCTGTTGTTAATGGTGTGAGGAAGAGGTAGGAAAGTATATTTAAATGAATAAGTGAACATGGGGCAGGGCTGCATATATATATTATATCCGTGTATCCATCTGGATCAGACTAAAATCATAGAAATTTGAAAAGCACTGTCCTAACCAGGTGCCAGTGATTCATGCCTGTAATCCTAGCTACTGAAGAGTCTGAGATCTGAGGATCATGGTTTGAACTCAGCCCAGGCAGGAAAGTCTGTGAGACTCTTATCTCTGGTTAACCACCAAAAAGTCAGAAGTGGAACTGTGGCTCAAGTGGTAGAATGCTAGCCCTGAACAAAAAATTTAGAGGTGACACCCAGGTCCTCGGTTTAAGCCCCAGGACTGGCAAAAAAAAAAAAAAAAAAAAAGTAAAAATCAAAAATTAAAGCACTATGGTTTGATAGAGGCTCTAAAATACCTGACTTCAAACATCCTGGAAATAGTTACTCTGCCGTCTTGGAGTGGCAGCAGAACAGCTGGATGAGGCCCCTCCCCTGCACTGGATGGGTCTAACGTAGGGAAACTGGGAGAAGGCTTACCAGCACATCAGGAGTGTGCCCACGGCAGCCCAAGCCCAGAGCCCTGCCCTTCACTGCAGACTGACATGAAAATAGCCCATCAGTATCACTAGGGCCGGGGTGGGGGTAGAGGACACGCCCCTCTGATCCACTTCATAGCTGACTTGCCATCCTGCTTTCTAGTCTTCATAATACTTAAGATGCTTATTGAATGTAAAAAATGATTTTTGTATCTGTTCAAAACAACATGAGGCATTTTGTGAAAATATTAAATAATAACCAGGACTTGAAACTTAATGATTTTTGAGAAGCCCCTGAATGTCCTTCTCCCTCAGTAAGTTGGCCGTGTTCAAATCCAAAAGGTCTTAGAAGTCTCCAGAGATCTTTAAAGGAACAAAGAGGACTTGCTAAGTCTTTTCAGTATTTGTAAAAGCCTGTCAGAAATTACATCTCTACCTGAGAAAGAGAATAAATGAAGTTTACAAATTTGCAGCACATTATAGTAATTTAGTAAATATCTTAGTTACCTCCCAAAAAAGAGAATTGCTTTGCTAAACCAGGATTACAAACCCCTAAGTAACCTAATATATCCAAAGTATTTGGATTCCTGAAAAGCCTATGAGTACTAATTAGCAGAAATTAGATTTTTATTTGCTTTTTTTTTAAGCCCCCACCCGCCTGCTGGCCTTCAATCAGTCACTGTAAATCTACTATTCATTCAAATCTAGTTTCAACAAATTCGACAGAGCACCACCCAGGCACAAAAGTCACCACAACTTTGGTGATCAGCAGAAAAAGACTGTATAACACTATAATGTTTTGGTAAACTTAAGCATATTTTAAGGAGGAAAAGCCAGGATATACATCAGATGATTCCATCTGTGGGTATTTAAAGCTACATATTCTTCCATGCACATATTTGACTTTGTAAACGTGTAAGTTAATCTGGAGAAAGAAATTCTGAGCTGTTAGTTATGGGAAAAAATAGGATTGAATGAAAAGGATTAAAGCCGAGTATCATTTAGATATATAAGTTCTGCTATATTTTTGTACCATCTTCTTAAGCCCAAAAAATTATTTTATTATTTATTTATTTATTTTTTGTTGGTCATGGGGCCTGAACTCTGGGCCTGGGAGCTGTCCCTGAGCTCTTCAGCTCAAGGCTAGAACTGTACCACTAGAGCTACAGCACCATTTTTGGCTTTTTCTGCTTATGTGGTACTGAGGAATCAAATCCAGGGCCTCATGCATGCAAGGCAAGCACTCTACCACTGAGCCACCTTCCCAGGCTCCAAAAATTAATTTTTTAAAGCCAGAAAAATTCAATATGTTTTAATATACCTGTAATATATTGACCTGATCTAAAATTTCATTATGCCAATGATTGTATTAGCAGGAATTTAATTCATATTTTATGTGTCTTGTTTGAAAATGTGTCTTTGAGTGGTTTTTGTTTGTTTTTTTGTCGGTGGTAGGACTTGAACTCTGAGCCTGGGAGTTGTCCCTGAGCTCTTTGGCTTAAGGCGAACACTCTACCATTTGAGCCACAGCACCACTTCTGGTTTTCTTGTGGTTTACTGGAGATAAGAATCTCACAGACTTTCCTGCCCGGGCTGGCTTTGAACCATGATCCTCAGATCTCAACCTCCTGAGTAGCTAGGATTACAGACGTGAGCTACCATCACCCAACTCTTTAATTGTTTTTTAACTGTTTCTATCATAATTATTTACCAATAAGGCAAGCTTCCACTTTCAATTGTTCCAAAAGAATGAAACAATATGCTGGGGGCCAGTAGCACAAACGTACTATAGTCCTACTCAGTCCTAGCTCAGATCTGATGCTCAGATTTCAGCCTGGGCAGCAAAGTCTTGTGAGACTCTTATCTGCAAATAAACTACAAGAAAGAAAGAAAGAAAGAAAGAGGGAGGGGAAGAAGAAAGAAAAGAAGGAGGAAGGTAAGGGAAGAAGGAAAAGCAAAGCAAAGGCAGAAGTGGAAGTGTGGCTTAAGAAGTGGTAAAGCATGAATCTTGAGCAAAAAAAACGCTCAGGGACAGCACCCAGGCCTTGAGTTCAAACCCCAGGAGTGGCAAAAAAAAAGGAAGGAAGAAAGAAAAGAACCCCAATATTATATATAATTTCTTCTGGGGACTATAGGCAAACTAAAATTTGTGTTCTGTTTGAAAATACGCTGAGTGAGTTTAGCATTCTGTTTGTAATTTATGAAAACCTAAATTGTGCTGATTTTGCCTTCAGCCGCTGCAAGTAAAACCCCCCTTCCTAAGACTGGAATCGCACACAGCATTCTGGATGCAATCTCTCAGGGAAGTGAGTCTCAGCACGCACTGGAGAAGTGCATTGCCTATTCCCCACCTTTCGGTGATTATGCCCAGGTAAGTGATGAAGATGTCATCAGCTCAGGGTGACATGTAGCACATCCTTGGACTGAGTTCCATGGAGATGAAATTAGCTTTGCTTTCATGTGATCAGAAGAATGTCAGCTTGCACAGGTCAGCATATGGGGTTTCTTGCTCTGCATTTGAAATCTAGGAATAGGTTCAAGAGACTGCTACCTATGATTTTACACCAGATATTTACCTCTCATTGTTCATACGAGTGGTCATAAACTACATAGAGCCCACAGATGACACCCAGCTCACTGTCTGCCTTTGGAAAGAAAACTTTATTGGATATAGCCATGTCCACTCACTACACACTTTCTGTGGTGCTGTGGAGCTGCACTGAAAGACATGAGCAGTTCCAACAGAGGCCTATGTGGTTACCTGATTGAGTATTATCTGACAAAGCAGAGACTGCTGTCTTCCCTTTTATACAAGTGTAGACCTGAGGACCCCAAGGAAATGCCTCAGCTCATGGTTGCTTTTAGATGGAGGACATGGTCATTTTTACAGGCTCTACTATACAAACTTGAAAACTAGTTGATCAACAACATCAAAATTCAGCCAAAATCCACTCACAGTCAAGAGGGGATTTGCTCTAGGACCCTGGTGTAGGCCAAAATCTGTGGATGCTCAAGTTTTGTATATAAAATGCCATAGAACTGACAGATACAGAGTATTCAAAAGACACGTTGTGTTGACTTAGATATATCCATTTTGCTGTTTTCAGGTAGAACTCAAGAGAATGAAAAACCAGTGTCCACACACAAACTCACACAACAGTTTGCTTATAATTATTCCTAAGAGCCAAATGTGAAAGCCTAAATGTCTGTCAGTTAACAAATTATCCATATGATAGAATATTATTTAGCCATAAAAGAAATGAAGATCTAATCCACACTTACAACATGAATGAATCTTTTAAGCATAATAAAGTAACGCAGGCTCCATACATGATGCCACTTTATGAAATGTGCACAGCACGCAAATCCATGGAAAAAGTTAAGTAGATGGGGGCTGGGAATGTGATTTAGTGGTAGAGTGCTTGCCTTGCATGCATGAAGCCCTGGGTTCCTCAGTACCACATAAATAGAAAAAGCTGGAAGTGGCGCTGTGTCTCAAGTGATAGAGTACTAGCCTTGAGCAAAAGAATCTCAGGGACAGTGCTCAGGTCCTGAGTTCAAGTGCCAGGACTGGCAAAAAAAAAAGTAAGTAGATGGTAGTTATTCAGGGCCAGAGGAAGATGATTTACAGGTGGAGGGAGGTAACTTAACAGGTGCAGGAATTCTTGTAGGAATGAGGAAATGCCCTGGAATCACATTGAGACACACAACCTTGCAGATATTGGACTCTGAGTCTTGTTTTGTGCTGTCTTGGGGTTTGAACTCCGGGCACTGTCTTTTGAGCTGTTTTGCTCAAGTCTAGCACTCTAGCACTTGAACCACAGCTCCACTTGTGCAGTTTTTGTCTTTGTTTTTGTTTTTGTGGATAATTGGAGACAGGAGAGTCTCATGGACTTTCTTGCCTGGCCTGGCCTAGAACCCTGAGGTCTTCTGAGTAGCTAGGATAACAGGCATGAGCCATCAGCACCTGGCAAGACTCTTGAGCTTTTTTCAAACAAGTCTTAATTTGTTAGGCCATTGTGTTAAGCCATTTTTATTCATGTTTCAGAAATCTTCAGAGTGTCTATTGAAAACTCACGCTTGTAATCTTAGCTACTCAAGAGGCTGAGATCTGAATATCATGATTTGAAGCCAACCCAAGCAGGAAACTCCACGAAACTTCTCTCTCCAGTTAACTACCAAAACACTGGAAGTGGAGCTGTGGCTTAAGTGGTAGAGTGCTAGCTTTGAGTGCAAAAGTTCAGGAACAGTTTCCAGGCCCTGAGTGCAAGCCCCAGAACACACACACACACACACACACACACACACACTCTCTCTCTCTCTCTCTCTCTCTCTCTCTCTCTCTCTCTTAATACCAGACAAGTTAAAGTAAGCTTGAATTAGAAATCAGTTTTAAATGGATACTACCATTTCTCCACTTAACTACAACTCAGATTTTGATTGCAATGTTCAGTTTATCTGTGTAAAAACTGCATGCCTTAAATACTTTAACTGTGACTGAGAAAATTTAAGTTAGAAATAATTTACGTTTTCTCTAGAAGAATGGCATCACAGTCTGAAATCCTGTATTAATGTGAATGTACAAATGGTTTGAAATGCCAGTCTTTTATAGAAGGCTTTGAATCAATTTACTAAATACTTAATGACCAAATCTAACATCTAATTATAATTTGACAAACCAGTTTTCTCTGCCTCCTTTTATTAAAGTAGATTAAAATAGGCCAATATTTATTCTCATCATTTTTTCAGCTTTAGTTATCTGTTTCAATAATATAGAAAAAAATTAGTTGGCCAGGAGGCATGGCTCAAGTGATGTAGCACTAGCCATAAGTGGAAGAATTAGTTCGGCTGTTCTGTTTAAACCCTGATTCTATAAGGTCACTGCTGCCCATTTGTGTGGTGTACTCCTGCGTTACTCTGGCTGCAGGTCATTCCTGCCAGGAAGTTGTCTCCCCAAGAAAATCATCACAGAATGGGAGAAGAGAGTGGAACAAAAATGAACAAGGCTGGAAGGTGCCTGGCCCCTTCTTCTAGAGGGCAATGCTGCCATCTAGTGGCTCTAAAGGGGAGAAAAGCACATCCTGCAGTGACAAAATCCTGAGACATGCATGAATGCCATAGACTTATTTGTACTATTAAATCTGTCATTTATAAAGCCTTGTGTGGCCACTAAACTTGTGAGGTGATATTTTTTGCCAGTCCTGGAGCTTGAATTCGGGGCCTAGGTACTGTCCCTGAGCCTCTCTGTGCTCAAGGCTAGCACTCTTAACACTTGAGCCACAGCGCCACTTCCAGCTTTTTCTATTTATGTGGTACTGAGGAATTGAACCCAGGGCTTCATGCATGCTAGGCCATATTCCCAGCTTGATCATTTCACTTTTTTTGTGGGGGGGGGGGTCCGGTCGTGGGGCCTGAACTCTGGGCCTGGGCGCTGTCCCTCAGCTCAAGGCTAGCGTTCTACCACTTGAGCCACAGCACCACTTCCAGCTTTTTTCTTTTTGCTTATGTGGGGCTGAGGAATCGAACCCAGGGCCTCATGCATGCAAGGCAAGCGCTCTACCACTGAGCCACCTTCCCAGCCCCAATCATTTCACTTTTTAAATGTGATAACCATACCTTTTGGTGGGGGTGAGGGAGAGAGGAAGTCCTAAGAGGGAGGGAGTGGCAAAGCCAGGAGCACACCTTTGCTTCCCAGCCAGTGTGCAGTGCGGTGCTGGCTTCTGCCATATCAGAAGCAGTCACATGGGGAAATACACAGGTAGAGGAACCATTTGTGACAGGTATTGATTTGGCCCGTATTTACTGAGTGCCTGCTTCTTAACAGGCAGTGTTGTAGGCACAAGGTATATTGCAGAGAACAAAGCGCTCTCTTATTTCAATGGAATGCACATGCAGGGAGGAGTTAGGAGGAAGTAGGAAAAATGGTAAAATCTGTAATGATAAATGCAAAGCTTTGCAGATTAAACATGGTGAAGGGCAGGATCGTTGTGCACTTGACCTCTGGGCAAAGATAAGAAGTTTGGGGAATATGCCATGTGCAAGGTGGTGAAGGATACTCTGGAGAGAGGACTGGCGAGCACAGAGGCCCCGAGGCAGACATGCTGGCATGCCAGAGGAGCTGCCAGGGAGCTTTGGGGCAGGAGTGCAAAAGGGAAATGAGGGAGTCACAGTGGAGAGTAGTGGCGTCTTTTAGGCACTTGCCTGGACTTTGGTTTTTACTCTAACCAATAAATGCTGAACATGGCAAGCTCAGGAAGCTGCTTAGATGTTATCCAAGTAAAAATGATGGGACCTGGGGTTGGAGAGACAGGTGGAGGTGGTCAGCAGTGACTAGCTGGCAGTTGTTGTTGGAAGGTGTAGACAGCAGCATATCATAAATGTAGGAGAGGAGACACGGCAGGATAAGCCCAAGTGTGTGTGTGTGTGTGTGTGTGTGTGTGTGTGTGTGTGTACTGGGGCTTAAAACTTAGGACCTGCCTCAGTGTGTGTGTGTGTATGTGTGTGTGTGTGTGTGTACTGGGGCTTAAAACTTATGGCCTGCCTCATTGTGTGTGTGTGTGTGTGTGTGTGTGTGTGTGTGTGTGTGTGTGTGTGTACTGGGGCTTAAAACTTAGGGCCTGCCTCAGTGTGTGTGTGTGTGTGTGTGTGTGTGTGTGTGTGTACTGGGGCTTAAAACTTAGGACCTGCCTCAGTGTGTGTGTGTGTGTGTGTGTGTACTGGGGCTTAAAACTTAGGACCTGCCTCAGTGTGTGTGTGTGTGTGTGTGTGTGTGTGTGTGTGTGTGTGTGTACTGGGGCTTAAAACTTATGGCCTGCCTCATGCTCTCACTTTGCTTTTTCATTCAAGGCTGACACTCTACCACTTGAGCCATAGCTCCTCTTGTGGTTTTTTGTTGGTTCATTGGAGGTAAGAGGTTCATAGACTTTCCTGCCCTGGCTGGCTCTGAACCTGAGCTCTTAAGCCTCCTCAGTAGGGTTATTATAGATGTGTGAGATACCAGAATTTACTGGCACAAGGATTTTGGGTTTAGAAAAAAAAAAAAAAAGGAATTGTCACTGATTGAGATGGAAAGGAGGTGGAATAGGTCTTGGGATCAGGAATGGGGTTGTTTTGGTTGTAAGTCTGAGGTGCATCCGTGGAAATGGGAATGCTCCTCATTCCTCATACAAGCCTGGAGGTAAAGGAGAGGTACGCAGAGACAATGTGAGAGCCACTGAGTTCCTGCTGGAAGACTGAGGAAATAAGCACAGAGACCAGAGGTGGCTCACCACATCTCTGGATTTCTCTCTCCTTGGTGGCTCAAAGGCAAACCAGCTAGGAGTGAATGTGAGTGGTGTGTTAAGAGGTTTGAGGAGGAAAGCCCAAGTCAGTTAGCTGGGAGTGTGCACTTGTCCCCCAGAGCGCTGAACTCCGAGCAGTCCTACGCATCACCCCTCAGGCACCAGGCCTTACACTGGAAGTGACAGAATGTGCAGTAACCAGGAGTAGTAGTGAGGGTTGTGGGTGTCGTGGGCCCCAGCAAGGGGTTTAACACCACTCCCTTATCTTTGGAAAATCTCACTTGCAGAATGGATTGCAAGTGAAGGTATGCCCGTGTTTGCTAGTGGATGGGGTCCACTAACAAGCTGCATCACCAACTACTGAAGGGTCTCCCGTGAAGGCAGCTGGTGAATGGTGCCAGGGCCTGCCAGTGAGCAGGGGACGGGGGGGGGGGGGGCCGGTGAAGTGAGCAGGGAGCAAGCTTGCCTCCTCTGTCCACTCATCTCAGGCAGCCGTCAACTCCCGGCCAGTTTCCTTTCCTCTGTCTTCAGATGACTTCTGAGCAAACCTCATTCTTTACTGCCAAAGAAATGTGGGGACAGAGGGAAGGCCAAATCCTTGGCCATTCAGTGCTTTCATTTTATGAACTGTCCTGTACACTCAAAGTTGTGTGAAGGTTTCTTGTATTGTCCTCCCAGTAGAAAGCCACACAGAAATAATGTAGCAGAACGGATTTGTCATTTTTTCCCTCAATGCTAAGGATGGAGCCCAAGGCCTTATACGTGCTGGACAGGGGCTGTACTGAGCCACACTCAGCCACACTGTCCTTCTTGACAGGCATGATGGAGGGCTGACAGCTATGCCTATGACAGCCTTTGCTCTGCTCCAGTTTTGATGGTCCAAATACCAATGAATGGGAAGACAAAGACTCTCCTTATTGGCTGTTCGTTACCTTCGTGTTTATTGTTATATAACTGCTTGGACACGCTTGTCAGCTGTTTGTAAATCCAAACACTAAGGATTAGACCACAGGTGCTACCCTTTACTGGCCTGCTTAACAGTGAGAAAGGTTTGGCCATTTCCAGACCAGTCCAGAATCTGATTATTGTAGACACTAAGGTTTTGAGTTGCCATTGCTTTCTAGAGTATTGCCATTTCCTTATTACTCTTTCAGGAGTCATACAAAGGAGTTGCCATTTAATAAAGCAGTTTATGAATACAATGTATTTTGCTCAGTGTCATCCCTGTCAACATTCTCATCTATCTCCAACCCTACCCAACCCTTTTCTTCTTGCTTTGACTGTTTGCTGTGTTTATACCTAATTCACTCTCCCCACTCATTTGTTTTGTGCGGGTTCTGAAGCTTGAACTCAGGGCCTAGGGCCTTAGCTTTTTCTCTTAAGGCTAGTGCTCTACCACTTGAGCCACAGCTCCATTTCCAGCTTTTTGGTGGTTAGTTGGAAGTAAGACTCTCATGGACATTCATTTTCATGGGCTGCTTTTGAACTATGGTCCTCAAACCTCAGCCTCCAGTAGCTGGAATTACAGGTGTGAGCCACCAGCCCTGGGCTCTCCACTCCTGTGAGCAGGCAGAGTATCAAGTTTGCTATATAGATTACTACCATTTGAGATGGCCGACTCCAATGTGAACAGCAAGAATGACAGCGTGCTTATTTTTCTTGACTTCAAATCCTGAGGGCTTGGAGACGGGGTGATGTTGGCAGATTCCAAAGATGATTTGTTTTGTGGTGCTGAGACGGAACCCAGGCAGCTAGGCAAGGCTCACTAAACTACAGCGATTTTTTTTCCAGTTGAAATTTTTTCCTAGTTGAAATTTTTTTTTGTGTGTAACTGCAAAGTTATGAATACAAACTCTTAAGAGTCTCCTAAGGTTTTTATGTAAGTAAATTTCAAGTCTGAACATTTTGAACTATTTATAATTAACAGGACACCTTCGCATAGAAGTGTCAGACAAGAAGTTAACATTTTTTTGTGGCAAGTTGGGAGCTTTGTGCAGTCACTTCCTTTTTTCTCAAGGTTGGAACTCTACCACTTGGTCCACAGCTGTTCTTCCAACATTTTGCTAGTTTATTGGAGATAAGTGGCTCATGGACTTTCCTGCCCGGGCTGGCTTCAAACCTTGATCCTCAGCCTCCTGAGTAGCTAGGATTACAGGCATGAGCCACTGGCTACACCAACGATTTTTACATAAAGATTTTAAAACCTAATTTAACTGAAAGATTTGGGTTCTTTTTTCTTTGACAGCTTCTATGTTCTGTATTTACACCAACATGAACAGAATACAACTAAACATCTTTAGTAAGTAAGCAGATTTCAATTTAGCTTTTAACATTGTGCTTCGGTTTTCTCCTAGATGTCTTCTTTGAGAAATGAGAAGCGAGGCTCGGCCTATCTCATCTCAGCCCCTGGCGGCAGTGCAGTGGAATTCGTTGGCCAGCATTCTCAGGGCACTGGAGCTTATTGCTTGGAAACCTACTTAAAAAAGAAGCGAGTGTGCTAAGCACCGCCTTCTCCTGTCACCTCCTGCGGCTCTCTGCAGCACCTCGCTGTTCATCACTGCCTTAACTTCATTCAGTCTAGCCATATCCTTTCAATACGGGTTTCTGATTTCCCAGAAGGAACTGTGTTGTGCAGCAGGTGGAATTGCCAAATGTCAAACACGCAGCAATAAGAAGAGACATCCACTGAAGATGCATTTCCACTAGAATTAGATTTGTGCTAATCCATGTGACATTCACACACAGACCACTGGAGAAACAATGTCCTAACGTTCCTTGGTTAGGACTGGGAACAATTTTGATGTCGCATACAAAAGTTTGAAGCAATAAGTGGGAAGCAGTCTTGTTTCCTTAGCCTTAGAATGAATTTCTTACAAAGCCACTGTGCATTTCAATGCACTCTCCCTAGAAGTAATCTCCTCTTTACATTTGTAGGACCTGCCTTCTCTAGAACCATCAGGGTGCAAGTACCAAATGTGGTGATGGCAACACCACCAAGATCATCTCTGTGTACGCTCCATTAGTATAGCCACACCAGCCATGCTAGGCTAGGCCCAACAACAGTGACCATGACACACTGATAAAGTTCTATGTACTACCATTTGCACCTTTTGTGGCAAATGCAAAGTATATTAGGAAAGGGAACTTCAGTGATCAAATTCAGGAGTTGGGCCAGTTTGGCCTACTACTGTGTGCTGCCTGCAAGCTAAGAATGACATTTGTATTTTTAAATGGCTGGGTGGGGAGGGGAGACTGATGACTAGAAACTTACATGAAATTCAAGTTTCAGTGTCCACAAATTTTTATTTTATTGGAACAGAGCCAAGATTATTTAAGCAAACCGAGTAGCTTTGACAGAGGACCACATAGCCTGCAAACCCTAAAATATTTACCACTTGGTCCACAGAAAGTTTACTTGACTCCTGGCCTAAAGGCACTAATTCCCTATTATTTTCATTTCACATGAAGAAAGATCTCCAACCTTTGCATGTGACATAGAACAAAGGTTTGTGTTGTCTTTCAGAGCAGACTAGTGATGGTCTACCTACTAGACAGGGCCACTTTGATCACCAAATGCCCTCATTCTACACAATGCTAACTGTCCATACTGCCCTTTCTGAAGGAGTCCTAGGGAGATATTTGTAACTATTTTGAGCTAATTAGCTATGCTTAACTCTGGTTTCTCATTCTTTGGTAATATGTTTGGGTGGAAAAATATTAGCTCTTTAATCCACTTAAAGATTTTTGTCTTAACGTGAGTTTGACAGTGCTATTTTCTGAAGATCTTGATATTAAATGCATGAAAAACCCTTTGCTATCTAGAAATTTCTAAGTTTGTTCATTATTCTGAGACTGTTACTGGTGAGAGTTTGGGATCTCAATGATCCTAGTCTTTAGAATCAGATCATTAAAATAGCTTGTCAAGTTTGGAGACTTTTTTAACTTTGATACTGATATCTCACTAAGTATGAAGTATAGGACTAGTACAAATTATATGCTTTGTAGAGAATTTTACTGGTTAATTTATTGCATAAATGAGCTTCAGTTGGAAGATGATAACTAGAAAGTTAAACTAATTTCTAGGAAGTATACTACCCATAAATAACCAGACGGGAGCCACTACACAGCAGATGGCTAGTGGTCTCTCCTTCCCTGCACTTCTTCCATTTTCCTATTGGATTTGGCCTCTTGGGCACCTGGTTACTCCTCAACTACAGTATAAACAGAGGAAAGGGAAGATGGTGAATTTTACATCACAGCTGCAAAGAGAGCAGGAAGAGGCCAAAGAATTAAAACAACAGTGTTTTGGATTATAGCACATGTGGCTTTGCCATCCATACTGGTCTTTGCCCACTATCATTGGACTTAACCTAAGTACAAATCAAGTTGTTTTAGTAACAAGGACCTTTATTAACCCCTCCCCTTTAAAAATGTATACTGTTATTTTTCTATGTAAGCAAACTGTTTGAAATGCTTTGAAAGTAAAAAGTTAATATTAAAAGGCACATGCATGTAAAGTCTTCAGTATATTTATTTGTATAAAGAGTAAACAAAGTGCATATAGATGACCACAGGTTTGACACAGAGATCTTGATGATAAAGACAACTGAACAGATTTAAATGGCAAGTTTCCTGACAGTTAAAGAAGTCCTGAACTCTTTCTTCTGGGGGCTCAAAGTAAGATACTGAACAAGTACTAGATAGCATTAACAAGTTTTTCAGACTCTTAGTCATAAAGAACTTTATGCTTCACATTGAATTAAGAGACTAAACATCTTAAATTGGGCTTTGGGGGGAGGGGGGGTATGGTGGGAGGGAGACAGGGTCTTGCTGTGTAGCCACGTAGCCCAGGCCGGCCTTGAACTCTTAATCCCTCTGCCTCCTAAGTGCTGGGATTACATGTGTTTACTGCCACACCTAACAGAGACTAATCATTTTCAATTACCCAGATCCTCCAAGCAAACTGGAAACTGTCTAGTAGATCATGAACTCCAGAGTGCCTCTGGCTAGATCTTTCAAGTTTTGCATCATGAGGTGATGGTCAAAATAGTGATCGACCTTGTAGATGGTGGTAAGTATCAAAACACTAAGACTAGTGCAACATATGTGATATATATATTCTGTTTGCCTATAATGTCCAAACCTAATGCTGGAACAGTTGTCCCAAAGTGGTAGCTAGAAACAGGTGCACACTGAAGGTTCTTGAAAGCATGTGTAGCATCCAGGTCTAGGGAAGGGGCAGGTGAAAAGCACACTGCCTAGGAAAGCACTGGCACAGGCTAGTCCTCAAGAAGTAACATGCAGAGTGCACCCCATGCTGTCCCCTGTGCAAGGCCAATTTGTTCAACAGAAGATGATGGTCAGCCAAGGGAACAAGAGCTGAGTCACTGGACAAATAGCTTGAAGTTTCAACCCTACTGGTGACAGAAGGTACTCATTTCTGAAAGGAAACAACAACATACTAACTGGTATCTAGTATTTTAAGAATATCGGTCTATCACTGATAGATACTGGATTTTGAGGGCATGTTAACGTATTGGCCAAGTCCACCATTTTTTTTTATCTAAGATAAATATGCCAGAAAATAGGTTATCTGGCAGTTGAAAAAAGCTATCATCTTAAGATGATACAATTCCTCTCATTTCACAAATACTATTTTAAGGCGATTATGATGCAAACTAGCTCCATGAAATGGTGGTACAGTCTTTCCAAAAGGAGGAGTGCTTAAGTGCTTTCTAGCATTTTGACTATCAGTATTTGTCACTAATTTGAAAGATGTCAATTTAGAGAAGTTTCATACATGCCAGGCCCATAGTAGGCTGGGCCTTTGCCTGTTGAGTGACTTTTTAGACAAAACAAACTTGCCATAAAACTTTTAAAATTGTTCAGGTATTCACTGGGAGAGGAGGACTTGGTAAACAGTGGAATTTAAAGGTTATTCATGCTTCTTAAAAGTGCTTCAAATCCTTCAATAAGGTTCTGAAAAGTTGTCCGATTGGCTGGTTGTAATTCCCAGCATTTTCTCATAAGCTGATAAACCTGTAAAAAATAAAAGTAATCAACAGTAACAAGAATGATGTCAGATTTGGTAAGTTTTAAAACATTATAAAAACATCAAGAGCAAGGAATCATTTTGGGAATGACTTCTCCTTAAAGATTAGCTCCTATAGTACAGAATAATTTAAAATGCAGAAAATGTACTTATGAACTACAATTCCTAAACATTAACATTTGAGAACCTCCTGGGCTGACTGACCATTAACCAGGCAAGTGAAAGGGGGTGGGCGAAACTGAGGCAAGATCCTATATCTCACCACAATGGCCATCTCGCTCTCGTTTATACTGTTCAATATATATTTTTCTTGCAGTGCGAAGGTTTGGACTAAGAGCCTTGGGCTTGGCTAGGCAAGCACTCTGTCACTTGAGCCACACCTATAGTGCCTATCAGTTTTTTTTAGAGTCTGAGTCAGGTCTCAAAGCTCAGCTCCCTTTAGAATTTAAGGAACTGAATAAATAGTGTAAGTTTTATTAGTAACTATCACAAATTTACACACAAAAGTGAGATGAGGCTTTGGCAAAATATTCCTTGGGTAGGCAGTGGATAAGCAGGAAAAGACTTCTTGCCTTGAACGTCATAATCCTGTGTCTCAAAGATTATTTCTCGAATGTCTTACCTGAAATTGAGCTTCAGAAAAGTAATTTAGAGGACTATTCTACTCCACCTCTCTGCCCTCCAGCCCCTGCTGCTCTGAAAGCATACCGCAAGCGGGCTGCTCCCGTGAGGAGCACCGTACCTCATCAGGACAGTTGCGTGGACACGGCAGGCGTTTCCCTTCTTTCAGTGTGTTCACAAGTCTCGTAACTGTCATCTGGCCGTGAGTTGGGCCAATCATTTTCAGGAACAACTATGTAAAATAAAACCAAACAGAATGTTTTACTTTGTAAATACCTGTATAGGTAAAATACTAAAATTAACTGGAAACAAGTAATAAAAACTCTTTTCTCCTTAATAACAAATCCAAATTTTTCAGTAGCTCTTGATTAGGCTGTAATCCTATCTTAGACTCCTCCCAACCACTTATTCCAGTCAGGAAACCTGTCCAGTCAAAATCCCTTGTTCAGGAACAAGCATGAACAAGGTCCGGTGCTGCTCCATTGAGCTCACTTAGGTGCTCTAGAAGCATCCTCTCGTCTTCTCACACAGGTGAGATCCAGGAAATCTGGGTTGTCCTACAGACCTCTGGGCTCCACGTGAAACCAAGTCTTGGGACATCTTGTTGAATAACAAAGGAAGTGACATTTTCCCCTTTCAACATAATACATAGTATGCATGATTATTAAGTTTTGTTTTTAATAAACTTACAAAGTAGAGGAATGGACATACTTTAACTGGATTTTAGATTCAGATGAAGAGACAAGACTTACGGCCATTGGGCTTGAATCTGAATCACAGTAAGTGAGCAGCTCATGCAGGGTCACTCCAAAGGACCAGACATCAGAAGCAATATAAAATTTACACTGAATTAAGCATTCTGGAGCATACCTGAAAGAAAGCAGAAGGTAAACCTTCCCTTCCGGAGAGATTCCAGCTCAAAAGCTAAGAAAAATCACCTCTTTGGCTCTTAGACTTTAATATTCAAGGAATCTGTGTATCATATATTAATCACATGTGTGTGTGCTAGTACGGTGCACACCTGAAAGAGTAATAACCTTTCAGTCTCTCAGTAGCACATATTTTCCCCCAAATAAGTAGATAACTCTGTGTTCTTTATGTGGAAGACAGGGAAACTCATGAAGGCTGGCTGCATGCTGGATTCCCACAAACTCCTGGGTCAGTGGCAATCTCATTGGCCCATCAGTGCCTACTGTCATGTTTTGATGAATGATGCCCAATTGCCCAAGCTAGGTGTTAAGACAGTCCATATCATTTCCTCCATACTTCTCGGTCGTACCTCCCACCCCATGCTGCTGCTGCCTCTTGCCTAGATTGTTGAAGGAGCTGAATCTTGCATCCCTCCATAGTGATGGTTTAAAACAAACTATCCTTCAATCTGCCAATGGCATTCCACTGCTTTTGGGATGAAGTCCTAGCTCTAAAACTCAGCTTTCTTAAGCTCTAACTCAGTTGCTGCCCTCCACCAGCCTTCTTTGTGATTGATACACACTGAGTTTCAGTTCCTGTCACTCTGTTACCCTCACATGCTACCTTCCTTCATCGCTACAAACTCCACTCTTTTAGGTCTCACCCAAACATTCCAGGTTGACTGCCTCCTACTTCATCAGTTTGGTCACCTTATCTCCAGTACCTGTCCAAAGATGGGCCTTGACACAGTGGGTTTTTTTTTTTTTTACACAAATTAAGAAAGATTCAGGCTCTGTAGTGGGGAGAGATACAATTGTGTCTGCTCAGGAGGCACTGGGACTGCTGATCCGTTTTATAGAGGGCAGAGAAGTCTACAGCTTCTTCCCAGAAGATTGTTTCAGGCTAAGAGGATGATTATAAGTGTGTGGCCTTCAAACCAGACATCTGGTGATTCATGAGATGGCCAAGACCCTCATCAAGGATTTCCCTGGCTCTGTTTATCACCATTTCCCTTCTCCCTTTTCTACCCTCCTTCTGCATGGATGTGTTTAAGAAGGCACTGGCTTTTTCCACCTGCTGACAGTTGTGTCAACTGTGGCAGATGGTTGCCCTCTCATAGGGAAGTAGAGATGCTGAGCTCGTGGTCAGACCTTTCCTGTTCTTAGAAAAATGGTGCCATCAAAGCTCAGGCATTTGTGGAGGCTGCTGTCAGGCAGACTAAATGAACTCCAACTTTAATTCAAGCCAAAGGATGAGAAAGCACCCATGAAAACAGTATAAGCCTATGAAGCACTGATGAAATCTAGCTGCTTGATTCAGTTACCAAAACACAGGACTGTCCCGGTCATCCTTGACTGTGTAGTACTCCTTATCAGTTTCAATTGCTTTGGTTAAACCAAAATCTCCAATTTTCACTTGGTGTTCACTCTCAACAAGCACGTTTCTTGCTGCTAAGTCCCGGTGAACATACTGCCGAGAACCCAAATAGTCCATCCCCTAAGAGAAGTAAAGTAGTAATAAGCACATTGTTAGTCATTTCAAGGTATATTTTATATCTGTCATTTCATAATTAAAAGAACCATTCATACATCACTAAATTTTTTGGTAAGATCAAACCTGATACAAAGATATTAACGTAATTGTATTTAAACAAATCGATTCACTTGTATGTAGAAGCTCATTCTTCACCAATTAAAAAATATGCTCATAAAATTATTCTAAAGTCTCCCACTTGTGATCTAATTTCAAATCACAATGATCCAAGGCAAACTGCCTGATTCCTGGCGTGTCTGTGTTTTACCTTACAAATCTGAACGGCATATTTCAGCTGTTGTTTGAGGTTAATTTTGTTCTTATTCTTTGGAAGATATTCCTTAAGGCTTCCCGAAGGCAGAAATTCCATAATGAGCTTGATGCCATTTCCTCCTATTTAGG